CCAACACATTAATGACCCAGTTATATAAAATTAAATGGGTTGGATTCAACCCAAATCCGTCCAATCCCATTAATCTTATACTTATGTACTTAAAATAAAAAACTAACTCCTTTTTAATAAATAAGATTTGACGAACCACATAGGTTCAAACCGGTCAGACCAACTTGAATTATCTAATTGGATTGCCTTCGAGGTAATCACATCAAGTTCAAGAGTGGTTGAACCGTTTAAATCCGAGCCAATCGGTCGGACTAGACATCGCCCGAACCAATTCAGTCCGGTCGAACAAAACCCAATCGGACCGATTCAGTCCAGCTGGACTAGACCCGACCAGGGTTGTTTGATCTAGTCGGACCAGACTAGATCAGACTGATTCAGCTAGATGGTGGATTGACTTTGGTTGGCTCATATTAGGTTTGTGCACGGGTTTGGGGCCGAACCAATTGGCCTGAAGCGGGTCAAAAGAAGTAAATCAGACTAGGGCAAATTCAGATCGGGTTGTACAGATATGAACCAAATTGGATGATCCAAACCGAGCAAAGCAAGCGGGGCGGTTTAGGGTTCGAACCCCACCCCGGTCCGACCCATTTTGGATTTGGGTCGGCCCGGATAAGCTTGTATCAGGTCAAGCCGGGCTATGTGAATAATGGTTGGACTAGACGACCCAAACTGAGCAAAGCAAGTGGTGCCGAGCCATCCCGTTCGAGGTCTATTTCGAATTCGGTTAGACCCGGATCGGTATATATTGGATCAGGTCAGACCACGTTGAATTGGTTTGAACTTGGGTCAAATTGATTTGGATTTATGTTGGGTGAAGTGTGTTGATTCAAGTCAAAACTAAATTTAGTCAATAATTAATAGAAAATTAATGCATTAATTATAAATTATTTAATTCAAATGAAGAAAATAAAAAAAGGGCTAAGGAATTAATACTAATGTTTGTAATGGTTAATCCAATAGTTATTTGCAACCCAACCCAACCCAACCCATTTAAATGGGCGGTTTGGGTGACGGGTTGATCACAACCTGCCAAGTAAATGGGCGGGTTGGGTGAAAAATTGCCACCCCTAGGTACAACTAATTAAAAAGGACAAATCTCTAAATGGAGTAAAGAAAATTAGGCAAAAAGAAAGTGACTCACCAAGAAGTGCCCAATTGGAAATGAAATTCATAGAAAAGTCAATATAATAAATGGTTTTAAAAAAGGGAAGAGATATTGTGGAGGTTAAAATTAAGAGGAATGTAGCTTCTTTTTTATTTTGTGGAAAGCTTAGGCTATGCTTGGTTTGAAGGAAAAGATAGGGAAAGGAAGGGAAAAATAGGAAAACCTAGGTTTCTAAAGAATTTTCTCTCTCTCCCTTCCTTTCCCTACTTTTTCCTCCAAACCAAACACTGCGTTAAGGTTCTAAAAAATTGCTGAAATCGATACTGAGTCAGTTATAACTACTCCAAGAGAACAATGGGATTCTTGATGAGTATGACAGATAAATGCATACAAACCTCCAAGTCTAAATGTTTATATTGCCTTTTTTTTTGTCAAAAAATATGGACTATAGTTAGGGCAGTTGTTTGTAAGGTACCTCAGAATGATTTTAGAAGTGGTTTCATGTTTATAGAATAATCAAATATTACAAGTTTGGTATTTATTTATTTATGGAAAAATGGAAATCTCTCTATGTGATCTAAACCATTATAGGCCTATTAATTATTATAATTACATAATAACAAATGCATGGTTAGAGCAAAGTGAAACTATTATTGCAAAACATCATTTCTCAAAATCAATTTGATTTTTTCGAAAAGAAGGCAAAATCATTATATTATTCTATTCTAGAACGAGAAATTTGGTCTTTCAAATCATTATATCATTATATATATATATATAATGGATAGGACATTTTAATGAAAGCCATGGACAAATTTGTTTTTTCCAAAGAAATGGTCAACTTCATTTATGAATGTTAATACACTTTTAAATTATTCAATTTTATTTAATGGAGCACCAAACGGGTATTCATTAAAGGGAAGGTTTAGACAAAGAAACCTACCTTCCCATACATATTTTTACAGGCTCACTCGGCATTCCCTAAATTTGTAGGCTTGGCTTGGCTGGCTGGGAATGGCAACTCCTAATTTAGCTTTCAAATTCATTAAAATTCAAGCCTTTTTACGATATTCAAATACAAACAACTTCAGCTATCTACCCATGCAATCTGGGACCAGTGTGAGCGAGACCAAATCCAACTCAAAGTCTTTGACAATCCATCAATCTCTGATTCAATTAGGCTTAGTTTGGAAGGAGTATAAATACAAATTTGTAGAGTGTAAAACTTTGTATTTTGTATTATTTTGCATGTATTTGCATTCTACAAATTTGTATTTGTACTTCTTCCAAATTGAACCTTAACATTTCACTCTTTTTTCCTTTGATAAGAAAATTAGGATTCTTTTACCAATTTACCATGATGGCCATTGCATGTAGAAGTGTGTTTTAATTAAAAAATAATCTGCAAATGGCTACTGCTTTTCTCTGGGTGGCAGTTTAATGGTTCAATTGTCTGGGTCAAATGGATCAACCTATAAACTTAGTTTTGAATGATTGCAAATACAAATATATTCAGTACAAATCTTATATGCGATATTTCTAAAACTTGCATTTATGCTGTATATCTTTGCACTCTTCAAAAACTGAATCAAAATATCATAAATTATATACTAGAAGTTTTAAAAATATATACAAGATTAGGGACATAAAATACATAAAGATACATAAAATTACAAAAAAAAATGAACACAATATCTTTAATATTATATATTCAATCTAATAAAACAAATAAGCATAATAAACAAATAAGTATGATTGTTAGTGACACTCTGGACGTTGATACCCAAAATCTTTAACCAATTGTGAATTTGAATGAATCCAAATTGATAGTCGAACTCTATATGAATAAAGAAAAAAAACCAAGTTGCTCAAAGTTTTAAGTCACCAAAAAAGCCAACATGGTGCTTAATAATATTGTCTCTACCAATTCATAATTTTATAATTTTATAAGTTAATTACCTATATATGCCAATATTTAGTTTTAGGAAATTACTTAATATGTTATAGTTTGAACAACTACTTATATATGACTTTTAAGCTGGCCCCACATGGGTGAAAGTGGAGGGGGCAGCATTTTTAGAAATGCCAATGGAGAATTTTGTTTTGCTTTCTACAATTATGATGGTGTTGCAATTTCTTTGCAAGCTGAATTTTTTGCTCTTTTTGATGGGTTTCTTTTATGCGTTAGTCATGAAATTGTTGAAATAGACGCAGAAAGGAAAATGAAATTCTTGTTCAAATCATCAAAGGAACTGTCCCTCAACCTTGGTTAGTGTGGCTTACTGTTACAAAACAATCAATTATATCTTTAGCAACATGAGATTTGTGGTTTCTCAGACCTTGAGAGAAGGAGACAGATGTGCTAATTTACTTGCGAGTGTCAGTGTTGATGCTAGATGCTATGTAGCCTTTGATACTGTTACAAAATTTCCCACTGATCTTAGAAAGCTCATTCATGAGCATTATATTTAACTAGTAGAGTTGTAATGTGGTTTGATTGTTTATTTTGGGTGGGTTTTGAGTGGGTCAAGGTGAGAGCATTTTGTTTTGAGCTTGGGGCAAGGCGGGCTATGTTCTCCACTGTTATATTTAATTTTCCTTTTGATAATAGTAAATAAAATTTGTAGGTGGCCACCATTTACATGGAGTAAACTTTGGGGTCTTGAACAAAAAAAAAAATATAGCCCCACATGACATACATAAATAGGTCCTTGTTAGGACCCTAGGTCTCCTACCTACAAAGCACTACTTCTGTGCATTGGGAACATCTCCCCATGCATAATAACATTTAACAGGATGAGATGTTCCTCTTTGTGGCTGAGATATTATGTGGGTAGGTGTGGACAGAGTTTTCATGGGTAAAAAATCCATACTCCCCTGTTAGATGAAATGTTTAGAGCCGTTTGCATGCTCTTTTCATAATGCCAATTTTGTCCCATTCGAAACATTGTTTATTTTCTATTTCCAACTTCTCAACTGAAACCCTAGACTGATGATCCCGAACATTGTTCATGGGCCAGGTAGCCCAATGGGCGAGCCCGTCCTTTGTCGGTCTTTGACAATATTTCAAATCAGCAGGTATGGGCTTGGACCCAAAACACTAGGTCTGACTTTTTTTGCGTTAGGCTTAAGTTTTCTCAAAAAAGTTCGATTTGAATCCGAGCCTAATTCTAATAATATTTTATATAATAGAATATGTTATATAATAAACATAATATATATATATATATATTCTTTATTCTTCTTCTCTTTTTTCAAGTCATAGTAAGATATTTCAATATTTTTGGGCTCTAAAATCATTTAAAATAAATAAATCAATTTAATTATTAAGTAAAACACACAAAAAAAATCTTTTTATCCAATTTACTGGGCTTTGGACTTATAGAAGACTCGAGCTCGGGTTCAAGATGTAAGCCAGATGCTCGGGCCGGACATCATCAGGCTTGTATTGTATTATGTTAATAGAGTGAAAACGCAAGCAGGTCTATGAACAGTTCTAACTATAATAAGGGATGTATTTAATGAAAATTTAAGGGCACTTTTGTCTTTCTATTTCTTTCTGCAAATGCTGTTGAATGATTTAAAAGACATATATTAAGTAGTTTTTCAAACTATAGGTTATAGTTAAGTATTTATCTAAAACTGCAGGTTTAACTAAATAATTAACCCTAACTTCATTTGGAAAATAAAAATCTCTCTCTAATAATGTAGGAATATATTATTATTTATTTTTGGACCACTCTAACGGGTTTGATGCTTTCCGACAACTCTCACTCGAAACAACTGCCTCTCTCGTTTTCTCTATAAATCTTCTAGCCTGAGATATGGAGCTCACTGCCTCGAAACGACTAAGGGCAATTTTCGTGCAAATTGAGACGAAAACCGGCGAACAGCAATGACGAATGCCTGTAATCACGATCACCACCACCACCTCTGCGACGACGATTGCGAGTGGTGGAAGCATCTATTATGCTGCTTGAAGAAGCTAATTTGCTCGAAAGGATTTGTCCTGTTTCTCATCTTCTTCGTTCTACCTCTGTCCATCATCCTCCTTCTAACTTTTGTCTTCCTCCGGCCTACGCCCTTATTCATACTGCAAGAGGCTACAGTGTACCAGTTAAACGTTTCCAGTGGGAGCTTCCTCACCTCCAATATCCAGGTCGCAATCTCGTCGAGGAACCCCAACAAGATCGACATCTGCTACGACAGCATAGATGTGTACGCGACGTACAGTAGTAACGAGCCGATCACCATCCCCACCAGATTGCCGTCCATCTCTGAGGATGAAAATGGCGTCCATATCTGGTCTCCGTTCATCTACGGCTCGTCCGTGCCAATTGCGCCTTACGTTGCGGACTCATTGTTTCAGGATCAGAAAGAGGGGACCGTCTTGATTAAAATCAAGGTCGATGTACATTACAGTTGGAGTGTGGTTCCTTGGATCATTGGGCACGATCATATCTGCTTTAGTTGTCCGGCGTATATCACTTATGGCAGTCATAACACCAATATCCCGGTCGGAGAAGCCTTTAAGTACCAGTTGGCGCAACCCTGCTCCGTCGACACCTGAAGACAAACAATCGCCGCTGGTATTTTCATCTCTCTCTCTCTCTCGTATATAGAGAGAGCACTTCATGCATGTTGAGTTAGGCCTGAGCATCGTCTATATAAACTTTCCCATCCCAAAGACAGAATCCGGCTTCTGTACGTGAACCTTTTGAAGCCAAACCCATTTTCACCTTTGTATGAATTATTGAATATCAATAAATGAACATAATTAATGGCCAAGGTAATCAAAAAGCAACTTGGAGAATGCACTAATTTAGTAGCTTGAGTGTATGCTATTAGGGCTGTCAAGAACTCCCAAACTAAAACCCAATCTAAGTTCCGAAACCTAATTATTTTGGATTTGGATACTATTTACATAATCGGATTAGATGAGGATTTAGAATTTTAGATTCAAGCATGATTAAATTATATGTATGATGCCTGAAAGATATGGTATCAGAAGAGTTTTGATCAATCAAAATTCACCCATAAATTTTAATAAATTTCACCCAATTGATTAACACGTTTATGATATTGATTCATTGGTCACAAAATTTTTAAATATTGTCTTTATAGTATCATAATTGAACCCTATGTAGATATATAATAATAGTTTAAATATTTTATATTTACATAAATTTAGTCTAAGTTTGGATAAGTTTCTGTTTTAGAGCTTTGGGTTGTGTTAAATAAAAATGTGACAAAAGTGTTATAAGTGTTTCTTTTCAAACATAATCTAAAATTTGTGTTGGAGTAGGACATCCAAAAACAATTGGGACAGAGGGAGATGCACAAGAAGTACCCATCAAGCGGGCACACTTTCATAAGCACATCCAACTAACACTCAATAAATATTTTGATAGCTGTCTTAAAAATTTGTTTTTTATCTTTAATTTTTTAAGGTAGGCGAGGGGTTATTTAAGGGTCTGAACAAGTGTTAGAAATTCAGACAGCTCAGATGCCGAACTGAATAGGTCACCTAGTTGAGCTGTAAAGAAAGAGATCAGAGTGTTCGGGTTGTTTTATCTGGGGTGGGCAAACCAATGCTTAAGTCAGCAAAGAGTTCAATGATTTAATAGGCAAGAGAACTAATAAACTTTTTTGAGAGCTAAATCATGCGTACCTTTGTTAAAGAATGGGATGCCTTTATATAGGCATAGCTTGTAGTGGGTTTCACATAATGTGTTTGAGATCACCAGTCATTTGGTTCGAAGGCCTTTACACGTCTCGAAGCGGACTTTGCATGAAGCAATAATGCTTATCTGGTTGCCTCCGAAGCGGGCAGGATGGGAGTGTTTTGTTGACGTGGCAGCATGAGCCCAAAGGAGTTGGAGATGATATCCGCACACAAAATAGGTTGCCAATAGGGCCCCCAGTCAAGCCAGCGGAGGCAGATCACCTCTTACACCGACCTGACACCTTTCAAGAAGTCCATGGGTCATTAACCTTAAAAAATATTTTTAAGCCTCAAAAACAATGTCTAAAATTGGAATCTGGATCTGTGAGGCACAGCACATCCCAGCTGTATATTGGGAACATTTCCTATACGTGTATGTTGCTATTTATGGGGAGATGTTTTAAATGCATGGTGGGATGTATTGTGAGGTAGGTGTAAGGAGCGCTCTGTAAAGAGCAAATCCCAATTCCTAAAATTGGGGCATTTTGCTTCAACGTTTTAAAAATACAAATCCTGGAAGCTTATCCAAGCATGAGCTTATGGTATAATTTAACGAGTAATTTTATTTTTATAATTAAGTTTTTTCATTATTTAAAAATGGTAAATTGAACTTGGATTAAATCTAAAAATCCAAATAATCTGCATCCAATCTGAGGCTCCACAGATTTAATTGAATTTGGATTAATATTTTTTGATATTTGGATTTGAGGCTGGACGTGATCTGAATCCAACCCAATCAAAGCCCAAAACACCATCCCTTGGAAAGAGGCCCCTTTTGGGATGAATATTCATCAAATTTGATCTGATTTGAATTCAAATTCTATTCATTTAATCTAGATTTTGGTGTACATTAGACATTAATGATGAGATGAGGTTAGATTTGAAAATATGATTCCATTTATTAGTTGAACAGAATTCAGATATAATTTTATTGTATCTATCTATTCGTTTTAGATCCTTTATAGAAGTTTAATTTAAAGTGCTTCAAAGAGAAAGTGAGACTTGAGATATAGATGAAGTGCTTTTATCTATTTACATATATAATTTTTTTTGTCAATCATTAAACCCGATGAGCCAACCTATCCAAACCTGTTCATTTCTTATTATTTTTCCCCAAATATTTTTCCTGGGCTCCAATAACCCCAAACTGGAAAACCCTTTTTTACCTTTGCCCATGTTTAAAATCCGAGGTGGGTACTCTGCAAACCCATGGCTACCCAACAGGGCAACACCAATAATTTCAACCTATAGTTGAACCAGTAGGCTAGACCAGTCAACTCGACTGGTTCAACTAATCGTCACAGACCAGGTTTATGGGTCTTTTTCACCCTCTAAACTGCTAAATTGCAAGAAACCATCGACCCAGTGATCCATCCAGTTGAATCATTAAACCATTTTCTCCAAGCCTCCAGCCAGTGGATTTCAAGTCAGATATTTACTCTTTCTTTCTTTTATTTTTAGTCATTTTTGTCATTAATGACAATAAATTTTATTTACCATACTTATTGTGTTTAATACATAATATATTATTAGAAGCATTATTCAAATTTTTTATATTTTAATTTAATTTATAATATCATGTATTGACTCGATTGACCTGGATTCTGAAGGCCAAGATCCCACCATATGGTCCCACCTTTGTCTTCAGTGTTTTGTTTCTTCCATCTTCACCCACTATTCCATCATCTTCACAAAAAGGAATTCCAAGCCCGGCCATAAACAGGTCTAGAAGTTACGCAACGTTTAAGCCAAGTGGGGAGAAAAAGTTTTTTGTGGGGACCACTAAGTCCAACGGACACGGTCCCTCACCAAATGATTAATATGGACTTTAATAATTGAAGGCACTATCATAAATCATACCTAGTCCTTACAACTATTTACGTGGTGGTCATTTGTAAAATGTAGAAGGTTATTTTTGTTAATTAGGAAAAATTTATGATACCAGAAAAACATGATACGGAAGTAACTTTAACCGATTAAAAGTGAAAAGCCATTAATCTTGATGAAAATTAGTAATGAAAACGGAGAGGGATACTCCTACCTGTTCTCACCCCCCGTTGTCAAGATATTCTATTCCATTCCTCCCTCATCCCCAGTGGTGGGGTAGGTTCAGGGTAGGGGATACACTCTCTGTTGGGATGGGGAACCTTTGATTTTTTTCTACAATAGGAATATGAGAATCTGGGTTTAATTTAGGAATGGATTATTAATTTCAATTATATTCAAGTATCCAAAAAGGTAGAAAAAATAAATTAATAAAATAAGAAAATTTAGGTTGATTGCTGGGTAGGGATGGCAATTTCTACCCTACCCCGTGGATACCTGCACCTACCTACCTGATGGGCAGTTTTCTTTTCTCGAAAAATAGATTTTGGGGTAGGAATATGTTTTGGGTTTTACAACCTGTATAGATATGGATAAGGTATGGTATTAAGATAAACCAAACCTTCCTCGACCCGCATATTGTTCGGAGGTATAAGAACTTATGTAGTATTTGGTGTTGAATTTAATATTTGAATTTTATGGCCTTTCAAAAGATTTTAGGTGAAGGGTATTTCATATTTCATGTTCATGTATTTTCTACATATTCTAAATTCTAATCAAATAATTGGAAACTTTGTTATTTATTCATATTATTTTACTTGTCCGTTGTTTATATATAATAAAAATAGATGCAGGTTTTGGACCTAATCCATCCCACCCTCAAATGTAAGGAGGATAGGGTCAGGGAGGGTTTACATTTTGAAAATCCAACCTATTATGGATTTTGGGGAGGCAGTGGGACTGTGGGTTGGGAGGTGAGTATAATTTAGAATTTACAAAACACTCTCTAAACCTGTTCCATTGACATTCCAATTTTCCGGGAGGTTCTTTTAAATTTTTGTCATGGCTAAAGTCAAAACCTAGTGATCTCTTGCTCTAGTAGCAATACCAATAGAAGTAAGGTGCTTTCGACAACTAATAGAGGAGAACCTAGGGGAGGTGTTGGAAAGCTCTTTTATCTGAAGTTTTCCACTGATGGATGAAGTGAAAAAAGGTGAAAAGAAAAAAATGAAGTTATTCAATGTAAAAAAGCAAAAAAAAAAAGCTCTATATGGGCAGTGGTCGCGGATAAATAGATATGAAGCTGAGTGGTTAAAGGGTAACAAGTATGAAGCAGAGTGGTTAAGAGACAAAGTGTTGTAGATTCATTCCAAAAAATCACTAGAACATAAGCCCGATTAAAGGATATCCCTAATACTATGAAAATGGTTTCCAAGGGTGGAAACGACAAAAAATTGGTAAATATTGGGCCAACTAAAGAGAGAGTGAAGAGAAAGACTCGATGAAGACAAACCAATGTGGGATAGAATCATAGAAACTACAATGTACAGGGGTAAGAATTAATATCAAGAATGCTATGGTATTAGGAAACTATGATGAAATAGAAGATGGAACTCAGGTGTGGTATGATTTTCAGTATGAAAGATTCCCTGTTTTTTGCATGAGATGTGGTGTGATTGGCCGTGAGGAAGGCAATTGTAAACTACTCTCATATAGGCAACTTTTAGAAGAGTAAACTCAAAGGATTGGTTACCATTTGATGGATCAAGAAAATAGTGATTTCTATAGCTCGGCTCTTAGAGCATTGGATGGAGATCGGCCTCAGTCAGTGCAAGACTTGTTCGAACAGTCTTTACAGCCTTGTAATGGGAATATCTCGATCCGTATTTCTGTGTTTTATTTCATGGGGAGATATTTCTAATGCAAGGCTATAAAGGTTGTTGGAATAGACCTTGCACTGACTGAATCTGATTTCCATCGGATGATAGAGAGGAGTAGTTCATTAACAGGAAAGAGAAAAA